AGATGAAATGCATGAAAGATAAATTAAGATACATAGAAGACAGAATAAGAAGGTGTGACATATGTCTAATCAGAGTTCCAGAGGGAAAGAGAGATGGGGGGTGGGGACAGAGTCACTACACTGAAGCCATAGTTGAAGAACGGAAAGCTGAGAATTTTCCAAAACTGCTGCAGGTACCAGTCCATAAACTCAGGAAGCTCAGAGTACCCCAAAGAGGATAAATAAAAAGAAATCTGTATGTTTACATGGGAGTAAAGCCATCAAATCTCAGAGGCAAAGCAAAAGTTTTAAAAGGCAGTTAGAACATCTGTCTGAAGAAGATATAGGAATGGATAATGAGTATATGAAAAGATGCTTAATATCATTAGTCATTAGAGAAATCAAAACCACAATGAGATATTACTTCATACCCACTGGAATGGCAATAATTAAAAAGACATACTAACAAGTGTTGGTGAGAATATGAAGAAATTAGAACCCTCATATATTGGTAGTGGGAATATAAAATGGTACAGTCATTTTGGAAAACCTGTCATATGGCCTAGCAATTCCACACCTATATATATACCCAAGAGAAATAAAAATGTTATGTCCACACAGATTTGCATATGAATGTTCTTAGGAGCATTATTCATAATAGCCAGAACATGGAAACAACCTGAGTGTCCCTTAGCTGATGAGTGGATAGACAAAATGTGGCATATTCATTCAGTGTAGTATTACTCAACAATAAAAAGGAATGACATACAGATAGATACTACAACATGGATGAACCTTGAAACATTGTGCTATGTGAGAGAAGCCAGTCACAAAGTATGTATAAGATTCCATTTATATAAAATTCCCAGAATAGATAGAAAGTAGATTATTAGTTGCCTAGGGCTGGGGGTAGAGGATGGAGAATATAGAGAGTGACTTCTGCTGTACTCTTTAAGCAGTTGAATTGTATGTCATATAAATTATATTTCAATAAAGCTATTTAAAAAGGCAGCTAATGGAAAAAAGTCCCATTACCTATAAAGGAATGAATTTGGAGTGATACCTTGACTTCTTAATAGCTTCTGTTAGCCAGAAGATAGCTGAGAAAAATATCTTTTAACCTAGAAAACTACTTTTAATACTGAGCAACAATATTTTAAAAAAATGAAGTTGAGATAGTTTTAGACAAAAATTGAGTTTGCCACCAACAAAATCCTACTAAAAGAAATTTAAATGATTCTTTTTAGGCAAAAGGAGATTTCTGACAATATCTGAGATGCAGGAATGAATAACAAACAAAGCTTGTGACAAATGTGGGGGTAAATCTAAACAAACATGGACTGTAAAGTAATGATGAGTTAGAAACAAAACAGGGAAGAAATGAAATACATGACAATAATGTGTATGTCAAGGGGATGGTGGCTGAACTTGAAGTGTCTCAAGATCCTTCTATTATTCAGAAAGAATGTAAGCATAGATTGACTTTAGACTTAGGTAAATTAAAAATGTAAGCATGCTATATTTTCTAGGGTAGTAACCTAAAGATTAGAAATGAATGAAATAAACATAAAATAAATATAAATAAAGGTATAACTTTTAAATGAGTAGAGGCAAAAAAATAGAATAGGAAAAAAAGCCATTCAAAAGGCAAAAAGGAAAAGAGAAGAAATAGAAATGGCAGTGTATTTAGAAAGCACAAGTAAGGTGGTTGAAATAGAATCACATATATCTGTAATGGTAATAAATGCTCCATCTAATTTTATCAGACAGGATAAAAGAATCTAGGTATATGCTATTTACAAGAGACATCTACAACATAAAGTTAATGATACATTGAAAGTGAAAGAAGACACACCAGCCAAATATTAACTGTGAGAAAGCTGTCGTAGACTTTATGGCAAGGAAACCATTTTCAAGCCAATAAATATAGACCATTGCACTCAATAATTTTTGGATACAAATTCTTTTCTAGCACACAGTACACAAAGTACATTTATGATAACTGATCACATACTCTGTCATAAAGCAAGATACCAATTTCAAATAATTAGTATCAAACAGACCTTATTCTCTATTCACAAAGCAAACAAGCAAGAAAAAACACAAAGATAGCTAGGAAACATCCATGTATTTGTAGAGTAAGAAGCATACTTCTAAATTATTTGTGAGTTGAAGAATAGATAATAATGGAAATCAGAAAATGTTTACGATGGAACAATAATGTCAATACTACATATCAAACTAGTGGCATCAAGCTAAAATGATACTGACAGGGACATTTATAGTCTTAAGACATATGGAAAGAAAAAAGAGTGAAAATTAGTGAGATAAGTATCCAAGTTACAAAGTTAGGAAAAGAAAATAGAATAAACCCAAAGAAAGTAGTAGGAAGGAGATAATTTTAAAAATAAGAGCACAAATTAATGAAATAGAAAATAAGAATGTTTGGGACGCCTGGATGGCTCAGTCTGTTAAGCATCTGCCTTCGGCTCAGGTCGTGATCCCAGGGTCCTGGGATCGAGCCCCACATCAGGCTCCCTTTGCTCCTCCCCCCTGCTTGTGATCTCTCTCTCTCACGCTCTCTCGCTCAGGTAAATAAATAAAATCTTTAAAAAAGAAAGAAAATAAGAATGTTAGATGATCAACATAGCCAAAATTGGCTCTTTGAAGAGATTATTGAACATGACATGCCTCTGCTGAGCCTCATCAAGGAAAAGAGAATAAAATTAAAGAATATTAGAAATGAAATAGAAGACAGTCATAGATGCCATAGGTATTGAAAGATAAATGGGTTTTATGAAAATTTCCTGCTCAGTAAAGGTGAATATTTAGATAAAATGAAAAATTCTTAGGAGAAAAAAAACTTACCAAAATTGACTGAAATAATTAGAAACACGACTATTCCTATAACCATTAGATAGATGAAGTAAGTAACAGTCTTTGGAGAAAGAAAATACCAGCTGTAGATGGTTTTACTGGTGATTTCTAATGAATGTTAATGGGAAGAAGATTTCAGTTTTACACAAACCATTTCGGAACACATTAAAAGAGTGAGCACTCCGTTTAGAAGGCAAAATTGGTAATAAAACCTGACAAGGACAGAATCAAATGGGAAAATTACAAACCAGTCTTATCCATAAGCATAGATGAAAGATCCTGACAGAATATTAGTAAGCTGAATCCAGTAACATATAAAAAATATAATACATCATGACTAAGTGGGGTTTTTCATAGTTGTTAAGGAGAGCTGAGCATTTTAAAAATCCATCAATGTAATTCATTACAATAACATATTAAAGGTGAAAAGTGTGATAAATCATGAGAAGCAGAAAAAATGTTTATTAATATTAAACATTCCTTAATGATTAAAAAAAAACAACTCTTGGCAAAGTTGTAATAAAAGGGAACTTTCTGAAACTTAAGAGTTCCTATAAAAAGCTAAAGCAAACATCAAACTTAATGATGAAACATTGAAATTCTTCCCTTTAAGCCCAGGAACAAGATGAAGGAGCCACCGTTTCTTTTAGGGCTCTGTCTTTCTGCATGGCCTGTCCATGTGGCTGATACGGGCTTCACAGTATGATGGTCAGAAGGTGGTCGGACTTCTAACATGGTGGCCGGCTTCCAGCTGGAGGAGGCTAAATGTGCCTGTCCTCCTACACACAAGGGCCAGAACTGACACTTTGGCTGCATCTACTAGTTGAAGCTAGTCACAGTTTAGCCCAGGTTCAAGAGGAGGGTAAACAGACTCCACCTCTAGTTGTGAGTACAGCGTGTGTGTACAAGTAGGAAAAACTTGGTGGCAGGCATCTTTGGAGGTCATCTGTCACAACTATCAGGCTGGTAAAAATGTGGAAGTCTGGTGACATGAGAGATTGGCAAAGATGTGGAGTGATTGGCATACTTACACACTGCTTGTGACGCTGGAAATGAGTATAACAGCACTGGTAAGAATATTAGAATATTAGAAATGAAATAGAAGACAGACATAGATGGTGTCACCTAGTAAAGTTAAAGATGTGCATACTATGTAGTCCAGCAGTTTAACTCCTAGATCATTTTTGCTGTGTGTGCCGGGTGATAAATATAGGAATGTCCAGAATAGCACTTTTTGTTCTAGCAAAAAACCTGGAAACAAACCAAAATGTCTATTAATAGCAGAATGGGCAGGTGAATCGTGGTGGAGTCTTGCAATGGAATTCTGTACTTCAGTGAAAATGAATAAATTGGATGTACAATAACACGATTTAATCTTCAGGACATAAAATTGAGTAGAAAAAAGCAAAGTACTAAAAAAAATACACAGAACAAATAAAGTTGAAATGCAAAAAATAAATGTAAAAACAAGCAAGGAAATGACAAACACACGATTTAGGGTGGTAATTATTTCCGAAGGGGGAGAGGAGATAGAAATGATTGGGACATAGATAATTCTAATGATCTTTTTTGGTGACTCGAATGATGGATGTTTCTTATATTATTTTTCCTTATACTCTACGTAACTTTATGTTTTTTGTGTCTTCTCAATATGTAATATAAACAAAAAACCATTAATGCTTACTTTTTTTGGGTGGGGGTGAGGATTCTTTTTTCGTCAAATGATTGCCTTGAATGATCATTTCCACTGTGGAGTAGCAGAGAAGGACCAGGGTATGTCTTGGATTAATTACCTTTATTAGCAACCTGTTGACCTTTCTTAGGATCATGGTGAATAGTCTATGTTGTTTCATGGATGAGGAGTAGGTCTGGCTAGGAAGCCTTCATTCCATTGTGAACTTTGGTTCTCAGTGGGGTGGAAGGTCAGTTTGCTGACCTTACCTGTTTTCTATACTCTTGGCCCCCTTTATAGAGCCTTCCCAGACCCATAAGAACTTCCAAGGCCATCTTTTTAAGCAAACTCATGGCTTGCCTTGTTGGATTAATGATCATGGGCTATTGAAAATTAAAAGAAATCAGCAGTTCTCAAACGTAAAGAGTAGAAACTGTGGCTTCTAATTTCTTGCAATGTTGTTGTTTCACAGATTGATCAACTGAAGCAGGAGCTTTCGAAGAAGGAGTCAGAACTTCTTGCCTTACAAACAAAGCTTGAAACCCTTAGCAATCAAAATTCAGATTGCAAGCAACACATTGAAGTGCTTAAAGAGTCGCTTACTGCCAAAGAACAGAGGGCTGCCATCCTTCAGACCGAGGTAAGGCACTGTTTCACGATTCCAGGCAGCAGATGTTGAGTCGATAGAAAATATCCTACCTGGACAGCTTTCTTTAGAAGATCCCTTATCCAAGCCCTTGGGGCCAGATGTGTTTTGGATATCAGATATTCCAGGGACCTTGGAAAGGTAAGACCCATATCACAGATTGCATAACACTCCCTGTGTGGGTACAGCAATACCCTGTAACAAATACATGACTATTTGTGCAGAAAAAAAATTCCTCACGCTAAAGTAGGATAAATAAAGACTGTATAAGTAGCATCCCATTAGTTCATGTCAGGTTGTGCCACCAAAAGAGTTTGTTGCACACTGGAATTTTTTTTTTTTCATTTTCAGAGTTTTTTAGATTTGGCAACCATAAATAAATGGTTGGATCTAGAATGGTATTATCAAAAATCATAAAAAAGTCGGAATGTCATCTACCTTACTTGCTGTGTATCTGTATAAGTCCCTCTCTGTGATTCCAGGGCTTTCTTACTACCTGAAGAGTATCCTCAATTTTCAAGATTCTTTTACCCATTGAAGAAAGTTGATATTGTTTGGGTTTCTTAAAAGAAATGTTGGTTTATTTCTTCTTATTCATACTTAAAAGAAAACCAAATACATGTTACTATCCTATTTCCTTGCTTTTCGTCATTGGATTGTATCTTTGAGTGTGCCAAGAAAGGCAAAACACAAACTAGTGATGTAAGTAAAACAGTTGCCAGAAAATAAATTATTTCATGTGGACAATAGCAAAGAATGTGGTGACTCTCCCTGATTTTTTGTGTTGAGGTAGTATGTTATGTGGGTTACCGTAGGAGAAAGCAGTCTAGTTGAGTTACATGTTTTCTCTTGTGCTCTTTAAGCCATGTCTTTGTATATGTTTTTGGGTCTGTGGGGAGGTTTAGATTTGCCTTGGAGTTAATGGGGCCATTGAGTAGGCCTATGCCCTCAGTCAAGGTGCAGCAGAGTGTCCAGAGGTGAAAGGAAACAACTTCCAGATTGGGTGGGTCTTGGCATGAATGTGACTCAGCCTCTATGCACTTGACACTGGCTCATAGGCAGTTATTAGATCACTGCAAACCAAAATGATCACTTTGGCCTCAATGTAGATATCTCACATTTAAGAAAGGTCATGTTCAGTTCTGTGTAGTTTCATTGTGAATTTGGAAGCATGAATATTTTACTTTGCACAGCAAAAATTTGAACTATGCCGTAAATTGGATGACAGCTTGTATCTCTTTTTGAAGAGGCTGCAGTGAATAGTATGTAGAACAGTGCTGATACTGTAGCCACTAGCCACGCATGGCCAATCAAATTTAACTAAAATTCAGTAAAATTTAAAGTGTAGTTTCTTAGTCACACTAGCCATATTTCAAGTATTTAATAGTCACATGTGGCTAGTGACTAGTGTGTGAGAAAGCAAGCTATAGAACATTTCTGCTGTCTAGTACTTGTCTAAATAGGGATTAAAAACTATGGCTTATGGGACAAATCCTGCTTACTGCCTGTCTTTATAAATAAAGTTTTATTAGAACACAGCCACACCCTGTCACCTATGTATTGTCTTTGGCTGCTTTTGGGCAGCAGCAGAATTTAATAGCGATAGAGACCATCTGGCCCTTAAAGCTGAAAATATTTGCTCTCTGGCCCTTTACAGAGAAAGTTTGCCAAGCCATGGCATTGTGATTTTGTGGGAAGAGGGTTGAGTGGGAATTGAAATGTCCTCTCTCTAGCAGTCGTACTCTGAACAGGGCCAGATAGTTTGCTGACCTCTGTTGTAGAACAAGGTTTAAGTTTATTTTCACAGTGGTTATTCACAACACACAGTTGTCTTGGGTTGGCAATAATACCTGCATTACTAATAAAGTTAGTGTAATTCTTTTTTTTTTTTTAAAGATTTTATTTATTTATTTGAGAGAGAGAGACTGAGAGAGAGAGCACATGAGAGGGGGGAGGGTCAGAGGGAGAAGCAGACTACCCACTGAGTGGGGAGCCCGATGTGGGACTCGATCCCGGGACTCTAGGATCATGACCTGAGCCGAAGGCATTCCATTAACCAACTGAGCCACCCAGGCGCCCAAAGTTAGTGTAATTCTGTTGCCGTGTATTAGGTAGAAGGAAATCTGAGAGGCAAGGCAATCTGCTGTGGTATTGCTTGAACTGGGAATTGGGCTTCTTGATGGTTCCTTTCTAGCAAGCAAGAAAGAAAAGTCAGCTCAAAAAAGCTTATTACCTTCCTCTCATTACCTTATGCTGATGAGTCCTGTATCCCCTGGCCTCTTTCCCTTTCCTTATACTCTCCCCTGTATTTTACTCTTCTCAAATTAATGTAGTCCAAATCAGACCTGTACATTTTTCATGAAAAAGACAGTGGTAGCATTATGTGGATAGCTTCTGTCCCATGTTCAATAATTAAAATGACCCAATAAAGAGATGGTGCTTTGAAGTAGAAAAAATTATTCTGTGTGTGCAGAGAAAGTGAGATGATTTTCTAGTTTCCTGCTTTGAAGTTGGGAGTGGGAAATTAATGATTTTATCAGCTGGAAACATCCAAGGCAATTTCTTTTGCCTTTTTTTCTTCTTTTAAAATCTCTGTAAATGGAAATGGAGAATGCTACCTAATGATGTCCATCTCTTAGGGGTAGCAATTGAGGTTGAAATTAGCTCTCATTGTTGGATCATAAGCAAAGGATTTTTGGCAGCAGTAAAGAACATTAAAGTGATTTTCCCACTTCTTCGAGAAACAGACAGAAATAAGAGTCTCCCTACCTAACATGTGGTGGGTTAGTGGATGAGTCAGTGAATGAGATACGTTATGTTTTGTCATCCCCTACAGTGAAAGACCTGAGTTTACACTAATATGAAAGATACGGTGCTCATTCTGGAGGAGGTTATAAGTGATAGTTCTTTCCAGTTAGATTCCTGAGTCATTCCTGAAAGCTCTTGCCAAAACTGGAGGGCTGTCCCTAGAATGGGAAGAGCATGTTGGTTTATCTGGAAAATCTGTACCATCAACTGGGTTTTGGCTACTCTTAGAATATGGTATAAAGGACAGATGCCACTGGCTTAAAGGTTCATCTGTGCAAGCAAGGAAGGCTTTTGCTACCAGGAGATTTGCGTTTAGGAGGTAGTAGGATGAAGGGTGGGACAAGGGGTGGGAGGCAAGTTGTCTGGGTTTGTGGCTATGTGGCTTGGCTCCTGGATTGGTTTGTTTTAACTTGTACAAATGCCCAGACGCTTTTTGACATGTGTGCAATAAATCAATGGAATAATAATTACACATATACAGAGATACACCACATAGCTCTTAACATAACATTTTACTTTTTAAAATAGCTTCAAAGGACCCCAAGGCCAAGTTTCTTATTTTTCTACTTCCTTGATGTTTTCTACGTATGAACTTACCCCATCCACCAACACATTAATTCCGTGGCAATAGAGATAATCATGAATTGGCTTTTTTAGCATCTTGATTTTTCTGGATTTCAATGAGTAATTACCAACATATCCAGAAATTAGGAAGAAGAAAGGCCTAGCTATTATTCTATGATCTGAAGTAAAATGTATGAAGAACATAGCATTTAGAAGTGGGAGATGTATGGACATGCCTTTGCCTTCCCATTTCATAACTGCAGTATGAATAAGACTTAAACCTGTCTGAGCCTCCATGTCTTGATCTATGAAATGTCAGTCACTTTGCCAGCCTGATGCATCTATGTGAAAAGTGCTTTGACTCCAGGAAGGGGTTCTAGTTGTAAATTGTGCTATCATCATTGCTGTTGTTATTATTATTACTATTGTATATGAGGGATGTTTGGGGAATCCTCTACCTCACTTCTTTTCTTACCATGCATTCTGTGCGTTATGCCTCTGTGGGTCTCCTTTGAACTTGTGTGTCTGCATTTACCAAGCCAAGACTTTTATATTTTAATTGGGTTAGTTTTTTATGTCTTAGAATGATACAGAGAAATGAAGAAAATATGGAAGTGCCATCTATTTTGTTCTGTCCCCATATTAAGAGACTTCCTTCGGTTTTCTGGCAGGTCCACTTTTCCCCAGCCCAGCGTGATTTCCAAACTGCCCGGCATGGCAACTCTTTTGCATGTTTTCTGGAAGATGTGTTATATGACAGTGGCATATAATGCTTGCTTTTATACTCATTTCTGTTCCAAATAGATCTGGGAAGAGTTCTACTTGTTTAAAAATAAACACTTGAGAACCTATTAACAAATATGTAGGGGTTTGTGTTCATAATGACAAGGGGCAACATATGTAGGTTAGGTTAGTCACGCTCCATAGCAAAGGTCCATAACATTTTTGTTTTTATTTTTTAAAGATTTATTTATTTGAGATAGAGAGAGTGAGAGAGTGGGGAGGGCGGGAGGAGCAGAGGGAAAGAATCTGAAGCAGACTCCCCACTGAGTGTGGAGCTGATGTGGGGCTTGATCTCATGACCCTGAGATCATGACCTGACCCAAAATCAGGAGTTGGACCTTTAACTGACTCAGCTACTGAAGCATCCCTTGTTTTTGTTTTTAGAATGTAATCAGTATAGAAGAGAACTTCATGCAATCTATAGGCTCATTCATTAGAAAAATTTACCTTGGCACACATACATTTATATTCACTTGCAATCATGTATATAATTTTAGGCAGTTTACAGATGCTCTGAAGCATTTCCAAGAATTTCACATTGAAGATCCCTGCCCTGTAGGTTTCGTGCATTTTTTCATTCAACACATAATTTTTGAATGACTACTATTGCTGGATATGATGCCTGCCTTTATCTAGCCAACACTTCATTGGGTATATGGATATATGATAGAGAACTAACTGATTTATACTACCATGAATGCTCAGTGATTTCATTATCACTGGTTGACAATAATTCCACATAAAATCTTAATTGGACTTCATCTTCCTTCTATTGTTTAAAAGCAGATAAGTAAAGGAAGGAAAGAAGATAAAAAGAAATACATATTTAGTTCCTTTGA